TTCGGCTATCCATGTATTGATTGTGGGAGTCGTATGGTAGGTATATGGGAGTGACCGGATGACCGTTATATTATTATGGGTTTATCAGGTCCTTCCTTGAGCTGAGAATTTTCTGGCTATTTATTGATGATGATCTAGTGAGCTTGTTATTTCGGGGCCGAGGGTATTCCGGCTGCTCACTTAGACAGGTGCAGTGAGCCTATTATTATGGAGCCGAGGTTATTCCGGCTGCTCACTTCGGCGGATGTATATATATATGTGCATGTGCATTGTTGTCGAGTTTGATATCTTTGTTGCATCATTTCACTATTGGCATGGTATGACACGTATTTTAGGATTGACGGGAATTAGACTTTATTTTAAAAATGTATGATATGGCATATTTCATGTTAGTTCTTAAAATGGATTTAATTCTAGACTGTTTTTAAGAAAATATTTGTTTCAGGTATGCATGACACATCCGAGACAGGGGACCTCTCGGGATATAGAAAGACGGGTTGAGTGAGTGAACTTACGTTTATTGTATTATATGTAAATTTTTAACCGGAAAAACCTCTTGTTAAGGGGTGTGTTTTGTAAATATTTATAAATCAGATTTTGATATATAATAATGCACTTTTATGGTTAATTTTAGACTTAACACTATATTGAGGGGCCCGAAGTAGGAGATGATGACCTCATGATGCAGTGTGGTGGTAGCATTTCCAGTATGAGCCAACTGGGGGTGTTACATATATATATATCAGAGTAAAAACTCCAAAAACAAACCATATATAACTTACCATAGGATTTACAGCTCATCTTCAGATACTCTGTCCTCCATCATATCATATGTAGGGTTAATTTGAAGCTCTGGACATTTTAGGAACACAAACCAAACCAATAATTGCAAATCAGAAGGCCTAACTCTTCGTCACATCAGCCAAAGCAAAACAAAACAGATGTATTGGAGAAAATGAAAGAGAACAAAAAGAGAGAGGAAAAAAAAAAAGAGAAAGTAAGAAAGAGGAAAGTGACGTGGGGACGGCGGCTAGGTTTGAAGGAGTTTTTGAATCAATAATTTTAATAATATTTTTATAATTAACATTATTTTATATTATTATTTATTTTTTATATTAATAGAAATGATAATACTAATAAAATAAAATAAGATTTCATTTTTTATATGGAAAATATGTTTTTTTTTTAAAAAAAATATTTGTATTTTTTAATAAAATATTATAGGATAAATTATATAACACCCTCTTGTGTTTTAGTAAAAACGCACAAAACGTCCTGTGTTTTATTTATTGCGTTAAACCCCCTTGTGTTAATGTAAAATTTGCACGGAACACCTTCATTGTTCAAAACTGATGTTTAGTTCTAAATAAAGACCTAAATTACGCAATTTTTATTCAAATAAAAAAAACATAAAGTATTTTAAATAATTTTTTTGAATAAAATAAAAAAATAAAAAATTTATTAATACTTCATTTTATAGATTTTTGAAGACAATTTTTATCTGATTTTACGAAAAGTATAAAGATAAATAATTTATCAAGTATATATTTATTTATTTTATTCAAAAAAAATTAATCAAAATATTTTACGATTTTTTAGTGTATAAAATACTTATAATTTGAGTCTTTATTTAGAATCAAACATTATTTTTTGACAAAGAGAGTGTTTTGTGCAAATTTTATATTAACACAAGGGAGTTCCATGTAATAAATAAAACAAATTGTGTTTTTGTGCATTTTTACTAAAACACGAGGGGTGTTATATAATTTACCTAAAATTATATTACATTTTACAAATTTTTATTACAAGAAAATTATTTTTATTAATTTAATGAAATTTAAAATTTTATTAATTTTTTTTTTATTTTTTTACTTTCGATCCTTTTTAAAATTAATTTAAAAAATATTTTTTATTAATAAAATAAAATAATAATTTGTAGTTTTGTGAGGGAACATAAATCTTTTGCAAAATTCTTCGCCAATAATGAGGATGTTTTAAATTCCTCGCAAATTATGTTCGTTAATTACAAATTAATCAATTTTCTTACAAAAGTCTTTCGTTAAACAAGAAAAAAAAACACTGGTATTTGCGAGGGATATAAAATCCCTTACAAAAATCATTCGCTAATTCGTATTTTTTTGTAGTGACCACACTGATAAAGATTTCAAATATGTGTATGCTTTGTGTGAGTTGCGTGGGCAAGTTAAGCATTGCAAACATGAGGGATTTTTGCATTACGATAATCGACTATGTATCCCAAGATGCTCCATTCGGGAGTTACTTATACAAAAAGTTCATGGTTGTGACATAATGGGCCACTTTGGGAAGCATGCAACAATGGAAATTCTTTGAGAGAAATTTTATTGGCCTAGAATACGTAAGAATATTGCGGATTACATTTGGCAATGCATGACATGCCTCAAGGCGAAGGCATCACTTAAGCCACATGAACTCTACATGCCTCTTCCACCCCCTAAAAGACTATAGATTGATATTTGTATGGATTTTGTATTCAGATTACCTAGAATTGTACATGCTAAAAGTTCTATTATTATTGTGGTTGAAAAGTTTTCAAATATAGTGCATTTCATTCATTTTGCAAAGAAAAATAATGCTCATCACATTGCCAAGTTGTTTTTCAAGGAGATTGTACACCCCCATAGAGTGCCAGGATCTATTGTCTCAGATTGTGATGTAAAATTTGTGAGTTTCTTTTGAAAATCATTGTGTTATGAGATTGGTATTAAATTTGTCTTCTCTACATCCTATCACCCCCAAATTGATGGACAAACGGAGATGGTAAACCGGGTGCGTGATGGGTAATCTTCTTAGAGTTATTATGATTTCACATACTAAAAGTTGAGATGAATGTCATCCTTACATTAAGTATGCAAACAATAGACACATCAACACAGCTACACACATGTCACCATTTGAAGTAGTTTATGGAATGAACCCATGTAAGGTCCCGGCCCGCAAGCCACGGAAAGCTGGGCGTGTCGCGATTGTAGACTGGTTCCACAAGTCAATACGAGTCCTTCTAGCGCACTTTGTAGACTGGTTCCACAAGTCAACACGAGTCCTTCTAGCGCACTTTGTAGACTGGTTCCACAAGTCAACACGAGTCCTTCTAGCGCACTTCTGTGCTCACTCGCACGCACCCTGAGAAGGGAGACTTTTCAGGGGGTCACTCATCTTCAAATTACTCTAGAGCAAGCACGCTTCACATTGTTGACATAAATAGTCTATTCAATCCATTTAGTGTGATCAACGACTGCGGGCTGTTGCAAGTCGGCTCTGATACCAACTGTGACACCCTAGCCTGCAAGCCATGTAAAGTTGGACGTGTCGAGATTGTAGACTGGCCACATAGGTCAACACGAGTCCTTCCAGCGCACTTCTGTCCTCACTCATGCGCACCCTGTGAGACTTTCCAGAGAGTCACACGTTCTCAAATTATCTAGAGCAAACACGCTTAACTCTAGAGTTTTTTCAGTAGAGTTTCCGAAAAGGAATGTCTATCTTGTTGACATGAGTAGTCTATTCAATCCATTTAATTACTATTCAATCTCGGATAGTCTGGCACCAGCTCTTCCACGGGAGTTAACCTAGCACTGGCCCAACTCCGGTGGTATCACAACCCACTAACATCTATTGATCTTTTGTCATTGCCTAGCAATGAATCCTTAAAGGTTAATGGTACGAAACGAGCAAGACGCATAAAAGGAACTACATAAATGATAAATCTACAATATTATAAGTTTAGAAAAATCTGTAGAGGTATATGCTAAGTACGCTAAGTGCGAACGTAAAGCTGTAATATTGCATTTTAGAGATTTGATTTGGGTTCACATGAGAAAGAAAGTATTTTCCACAATGTGACATACTAAGCTATCACCTCGAATAGATGGACCATTTCAAGTGCTTGAAATGATTTTTGTTCGATATTTTATTCATACGATGTGCTGTTTATATTATAAAGAATATTGTTTGTTTAAAGTCATGCAAGTGTAATAATATAATTCTGTTATTTATTGTCATAAAATAATCATCATTTTAAAAACCTCACAAAATTGTTGCACATTCTATTGTTGTATAAAGTCTTAGGGTTTGTTTAGATAGGTGTTTTTGGAGTTATTTGGAAGTTTGGAAAAAAATAAAAAGTTAGTATTTGATTTGATGTACTGTGAGAGAAAAAATATATTTGATTTGATACTTTTTTAAAAATGAATAATAACAAATAAGTGAAAATGTGTTGTATAAACAGAGCGATAATGTATCATACTATTATACAGTAACTTATTATTGTCACCAAAAATCACAAATCTTAAAAAAATAAATAAATAAAAATTGTCACTCTAAAATTTCAAAAAAATATATATAATTCTGTGTATTTTTCTTGAATTTTTGAATAAGAAATACCAACCTACGTTGAAACCCTTGTTTTTTAGCGCGATTTTCCGAATGGGGAAAATGATATAGGTATATTCAATTGAGTTATTATTATTATTATTATTATTATTATTATAAATTCATTTTCATCTAGACTTAACCGCTAGGAGCATTATCAGCAATTAATTTGGGTGATTTAATTTCCCACCTACCAAGTTTTGACACAATTATGGATCCCATGTTAGAATTTAACAAAGGCAACCAAATCATAGCAGCGACCACATTTAATTTCTCCACTGATAAAAGCTAGAAGGGCGAAAAGGATTGACACTGTTTATACTACTTTGCTTGTCAAAGAATAATGTTCCCAAGATTCGACTAAATGGAAGAATAAAAATAAGCAAATAAAAAGAGACCCAAATAATTTCAAATATAAAAATTAACAAGACTATAGAAATTCATAAATGCCCGAAACTAACTCGATGGGATGTTCTAATGCAGCCTCACATGAATGAGGTAACCACTTTAGAGACAAATTTAGCCATTCATGACGTAGTAGGAAGGAAGTACACAAAAAATATGTCCACATCATAATATATACGAGGCAATGACGAAAATGTGTTCTTCTTGGAAAGATGGTTTTTTGTTTTTTTTGTTTTTTTTTTTGTTGGCTCTCCGCATGCTTGTTGAACTTGAAAATTTCCATCTCCATTGAGGAGATATTCTTCCTTTTTCTTTAAGGGATTGAAAAATGAAAGACTAATGAAAGAAGATGGTGTAATCTAATTAAGGTAAATGAAAGTTAATGAAGTAGTAAAGTAATTAAACAATAAGATTGGCGGAAAACGATGAATGGACAACCTTGTTGGGCTTTCCCATTAGCCATTGAAGTGTCCTCCTTGCAAATGAAGGTGCATTTGGCTGCGAATCCAGGCTGTTGTTTTCCCAGTTGATTTCAGTTGTGCTGGTTTTGGTGTCGCCGGGATTCCGGAACGAGAATGCCCTCCTTGACGAATCAGTCTCCTCCTTCTTTCCCCTCAGCCAGATTTTGGAGATGGAGAAGCTCTCCTTCTTCGTCGCCGATCTGGCTATGGAGTTGTCGTCGACCTGGATCCTGAACGCTTCGAATTCCCGCCTTGAGCAGCCGCATTCGGACATGGCGGGGCCGTGGCCGGGCAGTGTCGGCTTCTTGGCAGTGCTGGGCTTCTTCTTCTTCAATGGAGTCCGGATCGGCACTTGCAGAGAGGAAGTCTCGTCCATTACGTATGCGAAAGATCCCATGGAGAAGCATCTTCTCACGTCGTCATTGCTGGCCCCAGAAGCCTCGCCTCCTCCTCCGCCGCCGCCGTCGCCGTCGCCGTCGTCAATGTTCTTGAACTTCCCGAGCTTCACCGACACCACGCGCCCCCCTTCCCCTTTTTGCTCCTCTTCCTTGAAATTTGTCTGAACAATCTCGCAGCTCAAATGGGAGTTCACTCTCGCCGACGAATTCGTCCTCCCCAACAATCCTCCTCCTCCTCCTCCAGGCTCCGGCGCGGCGGCGGCGATCTCTCGGGAGCTGTCGCCGGCGGATTGAAGGACGAGGAGGAGCGGGGGGCAGTTGGAGTTGGAGTTGGTGTTGGGGGGGAAATCGGAGGAGAGGAGGGTGGCGCGGCAGAGGGGACAGGTGGAGTGGGAGAGGAGCCAGGTGTCGATGCAGTCCATGTGGAAGGCGTGGCTGCATTTGGGGAGCAGTCGGAGCTTATCCTGGGCGTCGAATTCGCAGAGGCAGACGGCGCAGTCGAAGGGGTCCTTGACGCCGATGATAGCCTTGTAGTCGAAGACCGGGAGGGCGTCGATGAAGGACTGATCGACGCCGGCGTCGTGGAGGTTGAAGAGCTGCTGGAGCTGGCCTTGCAGGGCGGTGACGTTGTCCATCTCGTCCGGGTCCCGCCTCGGCGCCCGCAGCAGGAACCGAACCAGGAGGTGGAGCACGCCGGAGATGAAGAAGATTATCGCCAGGATAATGATTATCAGCAGAATGCTGGGGCTCACCTTGTTGTTCAGATTGAACCCAGAGGAAGAAGACGACGACGACGGGACCACTACCAGCGGCGGCGATGGAAGCTCCGAGTATGCTTGCTGCTGTTGCTGCTGTTGCTGCTGTGTCGGGGAAACGAATCTTCTCTCCCTCATTGAATCCATTATATATAGATACATCTTTGTGCCAAGATTCGAGATTTACAACACAGACGTAGTCAGATTATCCATAGCAACAAACTAATTGAAGAATTGATGAAGAAGAAGAAGAAGAAATGAAAATGGAGAGGTAGAATGGTAGAAAGAAGATGAAGGGGGAGTTGTGCGAGAGAGAGAGAGAGAGAGAGAGAGAGAGAGAGAGAGAGAGAGAGAGAGAGAGAGAGAGAGAGAGAGAGAGAGAGAGAGAGAGAGAGAGAGAGGAGGGATTGATTGATTGATTAATTGATTTGGTGGAGAAATAAATGTGATTTATGAACGGGGAAGGGTAGAGGGATTTTGAAATTTATGTGTAATAAATACGACCAGCAAAGCAGAGCACCATTATTGTTGGATCTACAACATGGCCAAATTAAAAATAGATCACATTTAAACTAGGGATTTTGTTGGGAAGAAGAAAGAAGAAGAAAGCTTGGGTAATTGGGCTGGGTTTGGTTTATTTGATATTTTGGGGGTTGACTTGGAACATAACATATATATTGAACTGAACTGAACTGAACCCCACCCTCACTCAATTAACCTCACCCCGATGAGCATTTAAGTCTCCAAAGATTAAACAAACAGCCATCGTGTGTGTAAGAGAATTGGGGGTGTTTGGTTTTCGATGTGACCATTTTTCAATAATGATGTTATTTTAATCAGGCTATGTTTCTTTAATCTCTTTCTGTTTTCACATCGAATCACATGCTTGTTTCATTGCTTCTATTCTGTGTTCTTTTCGCTTTCTGGTTTCATGGAACCTCCTTTTTGGGCAATCCAAAATTATTACTTCCACTCAAAGTCAAACCTCTTTTAATAGGTTACAACTGCTATAAGTGAAAAAAATAAATATATATGTACAGAGAGAGAGGAAGAAAAAATGGCGAGTCAATGTGGGATTGGAAAGCACGGTAATAGATGCACGTGTACGGCTCCAAGGAGCTGAGCAACAAACTTCACATTGTTGCAGATGAACGATCAGGATCAGTCCGAGATCTGAAGACCCGGGAGTCGGGAGGTGTAGATTGGGTGGACCCCGTAGTCCTGGAAGTTGACGAAGATTTGCACTTTGTGACTGTCTGTAAGAATGGAAATGGTCTGCATGCTTGTGTTTTGTACCTGAGGAAAAGATTTTTGTGCACCTAATATATAATTCGCCCCCTCCACCCTACCCGACCCTTTTTATAAGTGAAATTTGAAATTTTACCGACTCATCTATTATATTATAAAACCATTTAGTCAAGATATTGCTAAGTAGTAGTTTTAATCATTCAATTATTATATAACAATATATTTGTTCCTTTCATTCAAAAAAATATATTTACCTTTAAAATATTATTCCATCCATCCCTAATATTATGGGTTCGTTTTATTTGGCCTCCAAACATTAACTTTTAGTACTTGGACTCTAGTTTTTGAAAAATATATACTTTCTCCGTCCTAATACAATAATCTTGTTTACTATTTTTGTCTGTTTCAAAACAATAGTCTTATTTTCATAAATAATCATATCACTAATACACTCTCAAGGACAAAAAAATCTTTTATTCTTACTTTTTATTCACCACCGATACAATATCAATATTCCTTAAATCCTGTGCCAAACACAACTCAGACTATAGTTCTGGGACGAAGTGAGTATATCTTTTCACAAAATATTTTATCATATATTATTTTGATACCAAATTTAAATCAAATTATTCACAAACTCATCAAAGAAACATACTCTATGTGACAACTACTATAGATATAAGAATTTAGGAGGTGTATGATTAGTAAAATTAATTACAATATAATACAAATAATTATATATTAAAATTAAAATAATTAATTAGTATAAGAGAAACACAAATAATTATAGATTAAAATTAAAATAATTAATTAGTATAAAAAAATAAATAAATAATTATAAATTATAAAATTAAAAATATTATTAAAATATAATTTTTTTAAAAAAAATTAAAATTAAATTAACATAATATGAAATGAATAAAAGTAAAAAATATGAAATGATATGTAAGAGAAAGAAGTATATTTTAATAATAATTGTTAGATACTTGTATGTCTAAAAGTTTATTGTCATTTAATTTTAATTTAATGTAATAATATAATGTAAATATATATATACGTTTGAAAGTATTTATAATGTATAATAAATTTAAACTTACTAATAACTAAAATATATACTACCTCCGCATTTGCCTTTTGCGTCATTGTACTTAAAGTTGAAAATATCATTATATTTGTATAATTTACTTCACAAATGTTATCATATTTGTATTATAAGAGACTAATAGAAGTATTTTTGTCATTTTGTTTTGATTTGGACTACATATTGATATAATAATTAATATTAAAAAATCAACATGCAAAAATCTCATGGTACTCTTCTTATTGGACGGAGGTAATATTGTATTTGGATGGATGAAAATAATAAAATATGCTCTATCAGTCCCAATTTAATGGAGCATTTTGAAATTTTATAGTAGATTAATAAATAATAATATTTTATTGATCAGTGAAAGTGTGCAAGAGTTTTTAATATTTTTGCGCTTAGACTTTATCTATAAAGTAATTGTATTTGTAATGATATATTTGTAATTTAAGTAAAAATTAAGGGTATTTTAGTATTAGTGTATGATTATTTTTTCTAAAATAGGAAAAAGATATTTAAAATGGAACAATAGAAAATGGTAAAATGAATACTTTGAATTGAAACGGAATGAGTATATATTCGAATGGACAAATGAAATATTATTTTGCGATGTATGTTTTTGGAGTTTTATATTCTCAATAATAATTTTGATGTAATATTTTATTAAATACTAATAATAATTTTTTTATAAGAAACTACCATAATTGCGTAGTAATAAATCTTTAATGATATTAGTAAAAAAACCTTTGTTGAAATTATAATAAGCATTTTCGGTTTTTCAATTTGTTACATTATTCTATTTTCACAATAGCTATGTGAAACTTACGTTTTGTTTTATTTTTTTTTTGGTGTGTTTTATTTTATTTATTTATTTTTGCATATTGTATTTTTTAAATATGTGTTTTTATAATCTATTCACAATTTACCTTACTGGACCATTTCGACTACTCCTTACCGTATAGATATATACATACATTTGATATATATATTTTTAACTATCACCAATTAATCGGGAAGTTAAGAAGTGACCTCCACTCGTATATATCATGAAATAAAATTAAGTTATATATAAAAAGACAAAACAAATTTGTCGGTCCGACTACGAGGACAAGCAAAACTCTACTAGATCAACTCTACCTAATGTATACAAATGTACAATAAGTATAAACAATAATTGAAGTACCAATTACCAAAACTAAAGCAAAATTAATAATTGGAAATTGAAAAGTCCATCAACATAAGCTCATGTAATACCTGAAAAAATCTCAAAAAGTCTAGAGGAGTCAAGGTCTTAGACAATATAGTGACGCGGGGTTGGTTAGCTAAGTAATCCACTGCACAGTTACCTTCACGATGGATATGAGCAATTTTTCATATGGCATGCCGGAGGGTAAGCCTAATCTTTGAAAGAATGCTCTAAAGACTCCAATGACCAGCAAAGTGTTGGATAATCGGTTATTTTGCAATCGATTATTTTATGAGTGAAAAATGCGACGCGCCGGTTTACCAAATTAATATAATTAATTTGAAAGAAATAAATAAATATTATTTATTTATTGTATATAGGGTTTGGTTAATATTTTGGCTATGTTGCCGGGTATGTGGCCTAAGTCGCAATATTATTTGGATAAAATATTATCCGTTGGATATATTTATTATAATCTCAAACGGAAGGTTTGAAATTAGAATAAATTACAATAATTTCAAACAGAAGGTTTATAATTAGAATAAATTACGATTGTCACAAACGGAAGGTTTGTAATTAGAATCAATTACGACTGCTTCAAACGGAAGGTTTGAATTTATAATTAATTATATCGATAATTAATGTCGTAATTATGATCGTAATTGATCCCCTGCCATTTTGGCCGAGTGGAGACGCCTATATAAAGGGTCTCCCCCTTCATTCTAACGACCAACCAACGAAAAACAATCCTCTTGTCTTTCTCTCTTCTCTTCTAGCTTTCCAGGCAGCCCCCCAGCTCAGTCCCTCTCTCGTCTTGTTCGCCGGAGCTCCAACGATTAGAGGTGCCACTCTCATTGGAGACGAAAACCGTTTTATCTTTGGGTTAGAACGCCATCCACCGGAGACACTACCGAGGCGTATCTAATTTTCGAAAAGAGGATCCATCCTCGACTCGGTTTCACGTTTATTCTCGCAATACCCATATATTCCAACAATTGAAAATTAGATAACACTTTGCGAGAATATCAACCCCTGCCGAAGTCGCCGCCGGAGCCACCACCGGAGAAGTCGCCGGAACCGCCGTCGGAAAAGTCACCGGAGCCGCAACCGGAGATGTCACCGAAATCGCCGCTGGAGCCGCCGCCGGAGGAGTCGCCAGAACTGCAAACAAGGTAGTCGCTCTTTCACTTGGGCCAGTTCCCTTTATGGGGACCCCTTTGTTCTCTTGATTTGCCCCTGGGGGATACGGGGGATTTCCTGGGTTTGTGGCCGCACCCTCTGCTTCATTTGCTGCCCAAACTATTGGTCCTGGGCTTGGCACACGGATGATGACCCATGTACAAGTTCCACAACCATTCACAGAGTGGACTTTAAGAGGTGGCAGGAGAAGATGCTCTTCTACTTGACTGCGATTGGGTTTGCCATGCTCGTGTTGCACGATGGCCCAATCACCCCAGAGCCTAGTGCGGATCAGCATACGAATGCGAATTATGCATCGTGGGCACACGAAGACTACATGACAAGAAATACTATATTAGGTAGTCTCTCTAACTCTCTTTATAATATATATTGCAAAATAAAGAGTGCGAAAGGGTTGTGGGATGCCCTTGAGAAAAAATATAAGTCCAAGAATGCCGGGTCTAAAATGTTTGTTGTGGCCTGGTTTATGGACTATAAGATGGTAGATGGCAAGTCTGTTGTCGAACAAGTGGAAGAATTTCAACATATTGTTCACTCTGTTATCGACAAGGAGATGTCACTGCCAGAAAAGTTTATCACGAGTGTGATGATCGAGAAATTGCCCCAGAGTTGGAGCAACTTCAAGCACGGGCTGAAGCATGAGCTAAAGCAAGTGGGGCTTGAACATCTGATTGTCCGAATCCGGATAGA